CATCGGAGCCATCATAAGGACCAAAGCTTTCCAGCGGCATCTTCAAGCTCTTAGAGCAGAAAAAGAGGAAAGAAAATGTCCAGCAATGGTGAGAAGGCAGAAAGAAGTAGCCTGGCTGGTGTAGATCAGTGGCTAGAGGCATTCTGTGAACAGGAGAAAAAGTGCATATGTGTGGACTGTGGGCACAACTTGGTGGTCCAGCCTCTGACCTGTTACAGGTACACCACCAAGCCCATGACCTATGTGGTGGGCACTGACAGTGACTGCTGGGTCAAAGATGTCACACAGATGAACGACCCAGCCTGATTGACAGTGACCTTCAAGTATTGGGCTGTTGCTGAGTGATGGGTAAAGACCTTGAGACCATATCAGAGCCTATTTATAGACCGGGGAAGAAAGAAGACTTTGAATTTCAGGCAAAACACAGGGACCAGTCTTTGCCCACTGCCATTGGCTTATATGTGAACTACTCTCTGTATGCCTTTGAAGCAACATCCCCTAAAATATGAGGACATCTCTCCAGAGACAGCTGCCATCCTTGGGTATTGTCATGAAAAAGTGGTCTACTCCAGGGATTGTGTGCACACTCTGCACTCCAGGGACACATGGCTGAAGCAAGAGTGGTGAGGCATGGAGAAGTGCCCTACAAGATGGTGAAAAGCTATTCCAACTGTGCCTGGAAAGCCTGACTTGCTGAGCACCAGCTGGAGGAACAAAATGACCTGGGCCTGTTTGGCTACTGGCAGACAGAGGAGTATCAGCCCCTCGTGGCCGTGGGTGGGAAGGTGCCCGGAATGAGTTAGGGAACATGTGCCTACCTTGATGCCTGTTGGCTGTGTCCAGCTGGAGGACCTGCCCAATCTAAAACACGTGGCCCACAAGCTGGACATCAACTGTGTCCTGGCTTTGATTTCCATGGCAGCCACTCCCATCACATGACTGATGAATACATCATCTGCGCGGTATTCAAAGATGTGCTCCTGTCCACCTAGGAAAATGAGCAGATGATCATTGAAAAGAAGGAGAAGGAGAAAAGAGAGAAGTGGGCTCTAGGGAACTGGAAGCTGCTGGCCAAAGGTCTGCTCATCAGGGAGAGGCCGAAGCATCACTGCGGGCTCAAGAGTGAGGCACCAGCTCCCCAGGCAGATGCAGGAGGTGAACTCTCTTCTAATGAAGAGGAGGGGACTAGCTCTCAAGCAGAAGCGGCCAGGATACTGGCTGCCTCCTGGCCTCAAAACCGGGAAGATAAAGAAAAGCGGAAGCTGAAGGGTAGCCCCAAGAAGACCAAAAGGGAAAAGAAGGCAGCAGCTTCCCACCTGTTCTCATTTGTGAAGCCATGTGCTGAGCCTCCACTACAGGGACACCCACCACTTGTCGCTGCCCTGCTACAGGCCCCACACCTGCCCTAGGCATGCCCAGCGCCCAGTGATGGGGGCTTCTTTGCTGAGATGGCAAACTGAGGCAAACTGAGGAGGTGCTGCAGGTCCAGCCTGGCTCCAGCCCGGTTCCAGCCCTTGTCAGATTCACCCAGGATGAAGCCTTCAAAGCTTTTGCTACCAAAGCCCACTCACTATTTGGGCTACAGAAGACTTTGCCGGAAGATACTTTCCTGCCTCCTAGACCTGTTCTTCCCATCTTTGGAAATGTCAGTTTTGGTATGGAAGCCACTGGGAGATTTCTGGATGGTGGTGCATCCATGAATGCACTGATCCTTTCTTCCAGTTAGAGGCTTCATCAGTCTGACAAGTTCACTTGCCTCGGTTGCGGACCTGGGACCCTTTCTCTGAAGGCCTGTTACCTTCCCCTGAATCAAGCTTACTAATGCTGCCCTCGCTGACTCTTTGCATTAGGGGAGAGAGCAGAGCATAAGTACAGGTCATCTCAGATTATGGAATTTCTGGGATCTAGTTTCCCAAGTAACATTTTATGGTGGCAGAAGCCTAGAAAAAGAGCTAAAGTCAGGGGAAAAAAGCACAAACACCATTGAAAATTAAGGAACTGTTAGTAAAAATAGATCAGTGTTAAACTAGATTCTATTCATTACCAGAGAAATGTATAAAGCTCTCTGTACTATAGATACTCAGGAGAAATAACATTTATAACATTTTGAGGAAAAAATAAAGCATTTAGTTTTTTTTTAAAAAAGTCAAGGTACTCTTATAAAACCATTAGATTAAGACTTACTCACTACCATAAGAACAGTATGGGGAAACTGCCCCATAATTTAATTATCCCTCACCTGGTCCTTCCCACAACATGTGGGAATTATGGGAGCTCCAATTCAAGATGAGATTTGGGTGGGGACACAGCCAAACCATATCATAGCCAGCTGAGCCCCTGGGCAGAGCCCACTAAGCTATTCCTGGACCCCTGACTTCTGAAAAACTGGAGATAATAAATGCTTATTATTTTCAGTAACCAAGGTTGTGATCATTTGTTATATAGCAACAGAAAGCTAATACAACATTCAACAACAGGATGAATGTGTTATATTTCAATATTGAATCAGAATATTTCATTTCATGGTATTGAAAGAATATGGGTAAATTAAAAATGTGTCCTTACATTTGTCAACAGGTACAAAGTTACAGGTAGAGAGAAGGAATAAGTTTTGGTGACTTATCAAGTGACTACAATGAACACTAATGTACTGTGCATTTCAAAATAGCTATGAGAGGATTTTAATTCTCACCACAATTAAATAACAAATATTTGAAGTAATATACTAATTAGCCTAATTTGATAATTCCACAAAGTATACATGGATGGAAAGATCACGTTACCACATGTGGTTATCAGGTTACCACATATGTATATATGCAATCATTTGTCACTAGAAAGAAACTATAAAAATGTGTCTTTAAAAACTAATTCAATGTCTGACTTTTTATTTAACATGCTTTGGTGGTAAATTTTCTTAGACAATTTACCAGTACATTCAAAACTTGTATTATATTTCTAATCTCAGTAAAACTAAAATCATAATCAAAATAATAAATTGCTGCCTCTCTCAAGAAAATTTGGGCAAGTCAATAATGTGTCAATGTTTTTCTAACAGGGAGAGTAAACATTATCACCATGTAAAAAGTATATAATGGCAAGAATAGTTGTATAGAGGTCACATCAATTGATGAAAAACTGGTGTCCTTAATCACCAGTAAAATGAGTTAACCACCTCTTTTAAAACAAAAGAAACTGATTGGAATTCCGCTACAGAAAAATGGTCCATGTATAATTCTCTCAATTTAAATCTATTTTTGCATGACACACATGTCCTTAGAAAAGTATATCTGGGCTCTCACCGTTCCATTTTGATTGAGTAGAGCAGGGTCAGAATAACTGCCAAAGGTGAGTCCATATCTAGAAAGGGATACTGTAAGCTAAACATGTCAGCATTCTGTACTTTGAGTCAAGCAGGCTTGTCCTCAGCAAACCACAGAGCATATGAAATTAAATGAAGTCTGTGGATTCTACAGGTCCCAGGGCAAATGTTGGAGTCCTGATCCAAGACCCCCTATAAAGGTCTCCATTTTCAGCCAGGAGCATAAATGACCTGTGCTAGCTCCAGGGCTTTCACATATTTTGCTTTTCTGGCATTTAATGGAGTCTTATATAGACTGAAGTTCCCAGCGGGCAGTGTTCCATTTTGTGTAATTCCACTCAGCACAAAAAAGTAATAAAGGGATATACTCTGAGACGATTTTCTCTAGGTTCAAGTATGGTAGCACTTTCCTTGACGTTTCACATAGCAAGGAAACAAGCCAGGGGAGGGGAGGGGGATACCTATTTTTGCATTAAGCACAAGTGTCTTTACATGTACTATATCACCTCCTTTATAAGTCACAAAGTATTTAAATATAAAGACGATAGTTAACAGTTACTGAGTACCTGCACTAAGTGCTTAAAGGAATTACAGTAAGTCCTCACTTAGCATCACAGGTTCCTGGAAACTGCTACTTTTAAGTGGAAAGACATTTTAAAAATGTGTTTTTTTTTTTTTTTTTTTTTTTTTGGTTGTTTTGCCTCAGCAACGCTATAAGGAAATGACATTGAGTAAAACATTATTAGAGGACATGCTATATGCATTGAATTCTTTACACAACTGTTTGGAAAAATGTTCCTGTATAATTGTGGTATAGGTAAGGAATCTGAGGCTTAAGGAGATTAGTAATTGGTGAGTTGAAGTTGAATCACATTTATTTAAATTAAAATCCACATGCTTAACCACAATGCTTTAAAGGCTTCCCTTGTATATGCTGTATGGTCAGTGAAGGGATAAAAGGAAAAACAACGGGAATATTCTATTCCCAAGGACAAACCTGTGGTATTCATCCTGGAAATAATGATATTTGTTTAATTGAGGTGCATATATTACAAATAGCAAAGTACCTTCCAAAATGTATGTCATTTAGTTATCACAAAAGTCCTACTGGTGGTTTGGGAGAGCATATAGCGATGCCACTAAGAACCTAACTTGGGGTCAAACAGGTTTAGGCTTAAATAGTAGCCCAGAAATTTATTAGCCCCACAACCACGGGGAAAGTAACCTCTCAGTTCCCTCATCTGTGACAGGTGATAAGATATGCCTGTCCCTCAGGCTCGATGACAGGATTATTTGTCAGTGAGCACATGCAATAAAAATGTTTGTGGTCTTGTTATACTTATTATGAATCCTGATTCCCAAGAGTAAGAAGAGTTGGCACCGGCCAGAAGGTTAAGAGAATGGGCCAAGTTTTCTTTCTTCAGTAATTTTCCTTTATCCCTTAGGCCATCCAATGGTGTAGAATGTGGGGTTTCCAATACTCAAGTTCTCCCGTCCCCACCCGGTTCAGCTGAAGGCCCATCTTCTAAACCCCTGACTCAAGGCGATACAACGCGTTCAGCTAAACTCCCTCCAGCCTTGCTTGATTGAGCAGCCCAAACTCAGCCTGGACACCCGCTTCGCCTCCCTCAAACACTGCGTCATAAGCCCCCTGCGAATGTTCGCCTGGAGCCTGGTTCTGGCTAGAACCCGGTCTTACACAGGGAGGACGATTTCGACCCCAATTGGCTGTTGCCCTGGCTGTTGTCTTGGTGGGGACGCGGGAGGCCACGGCGGGTATATAAAGGCTGCTGCTACCTGCGCCACACCAGTCCCGCCAGGACGGTGACAGTGAAGCACCTGGGTTGAGAGGGAGCAGTAAGGTAACCGCACAACCCCTGCCTCCCTGGCCCCCGCCGGCGCCTCAGCCGAGCCGGGTGTGGGGGGACCCGGGAGTGGGTCTCACTGCGTGTCGCCTGCCAACACCTTCCTCCCCCACCATCCTTACCCAGCCCCTGTCTCACCCAGCATACCTGGGCGAGACAACCCGGGTGCGAAGGACAAGAGATTACGACCGAAGAGCGAGCAAACCAGGAAGACAGCGGCCTCCTGGAGAGTAAAACGTGATCCCAGGGGCAGACACGTGGCGCTGCGTGAAGAAACAGGGTGACAGACGAGGCTCTTCCCACCGTCCCGTTTGGCCAAACTTGACAGCTTCTGGGTCGCTGCCATCCAGACCTCTCAGAGCTCCCTGAACCATGACGGAGACCTTCAACATGAAAGAAGACCCTGTGAACCTGGGTGGCGGTGGAGCACACTCGTCCTCCCTGCACTCCTGGTCGTCCTGCTACCGAAGGCGCCGGGGCGCTCCCGTGTACAATAGATGGCACCGCTATGGCCCCAAGACCGAGTATGGGCCCCCAAGGAAACAGCCAAAGCAACAGCACAGCCCGGGGTTTTGGTTCCAATCACCCGTGTGCTCTAACTGGGGGTGCTGGGGAGGGCCCTGGCGCCCACCCCCTCCAGTATTCTGGAGGCCCCCCGGCCGAGTGCAAGTGATTAGTGTGTACGGCCTGCACCCGCTCTGCTTTTGCTGCTGCTCCTGCTGGAGCGGATCCTGGAACCCTGGCTGGACGAGGTCCCCAGGCAAGAAGAAGCGCTGGGGCCGCAGGGGCCGCAGAGGTCGCGGCCCGCGCCACCACCCTCGCCGCTCCTCCTCGCGGAGCCCGCCGGGGGATCTGAGCATGCCGCTGCGGCCGGCCAGCCCGTACGAGTGGAGAGCGCCTGGCTTGCGAGCGCCGCGCAACACCACCCAGTTCATCATGGACCAGATCTATGAGGACATGAGGCAGCAGAAGGAGCTGGAGCGTCAGCAGGAGGCGAAGAGGGTGCAGCAGGCCGTGGTGGGCGGCGAGGCCTTCCCAGCAGGATCCTCCGGAAACAACGCGCCCCCTGGCGGCAGCGAGGAAACCTGGGCGCTGCAGGAAACTTTGTATGACCTTGTACAGAATCCTCTAGCATTCAGTCCTACCCCAGAGGAAAACCAGTCTCCTGCCCCTATGCTGGTGAAGGAAGAGGAGGAGGAGGAGAAAAATGATGAGTATGACCAGGAGGTGTGTGATGTAAAGGAAGAGAGCGAGGAGGAGGAAGAAGAGGTCGAAGATGATGAAGAGGAAGAGGTTGAAGAGGCTGAATATGTGGAGGAAGGGGAGGAGGAGGAAGAGGAGGAGCTGGAAGAGGAAGAGGAGGGCCTGGAGGAGAACAGGCAGGGAGGGGAAGAATTTCACCTGCCTCTGGAAATGCCTTTATCACTCTTTGTAGGGGCTGAAGAAACGAGAGAGAACTTTATAAACTGTACTTTTTTAAACCCAGAGCAGATAATTCCCAACATACCACAGGAATCCCTGTTCCTGGCACAGGACTTTAACTGTTAGACATCAGAAAAGGGATTGAGGAAAAGGATGGAACTGATTTGAGGCTAAACTAGATTAGCAATTTATTAAAAACTGATTAAAAAGTGAGTTCCATTAATAAACAGATCTATGTAAACACCTTCTTTGGCCATTAAAAAATGTTTAAAATTTGATGTGGTTGTGTATGACTATGGGTGGTGGGGGGAGGGAGCTTTCAAATATAAATTTACTGGAACTGGTTAAAGGCCAAATATTTTATTACTTACATTTGAATATTTTCATTTGATATCTTCCCCTCTAGAAAATTGGATTGTTTTTTAAATCTGATAATGCTGAAAAAAAATGCTTTGTTTTTGCAACAAATTTATACAACTTAGCCACTGCTGATCTTGGAATTAAGAAATAATATGTTACATGCTTAAGAAGAACATTCTAAGGCTACTGAATGTTCACCAGTGCTCTTAACAAAACTGAAGCCATTTTAAATTCCTGCATTTTTTCAACAATATTTTTCCTCATAGATTTTTCCACCTTCAGAGTTCATTTTTGAGGGCTGTATTTTCTTAACCCCATTTGCAGTCTCTTGTGGCATCGCTCATTTATATTCCTTGTTCCACAGTGCTATGGATCTTCCTCAGAAGAACATGAAGTTGCTTCTGTGGAACTGGTTATCTGCCATGGCCTCAACAATCCATAATCCATTCATGGAGAGGATTCCCATGGTCAGAAGTCAACTTGCACATCTAGTTAAAATCCAAGGTAACTGCAAACAATGGAATATAGCTTAGGTTTTGAAGCTTTGTTATTGGACATAGTCTTTGTCATAAGTTCTGAGCAGCCATAAAGATAGTTTTACAGAATGGATTTTTTTTTAAAGAAAAACATTATTGACCTTTTGGGGATGGAATATCTTATTTGTTTTTCAATTTGTCTTCCTTATAAAGGAGAGTAAAACAAAGACATGTAAGTGTGAGTCTGTGTGAGCTAGTTTCTGATGTCTAAACAGCAATTACCTATGGAGAGAATATGTCATTCAAAGTAACAACTTTTGTTCAAACATTTTTCGGATGTAATAATATGTTTCTTCCTGGACAGTTAATAAAAGTTCCATCCATAGCATATTTCCAGGATATCCTTAGATGTTGAATTTGAATCTGCCTTCTCAGAAATTACATCATTTGACTTTAAACCACAACTTAGCATTTATTTGTTGAAGAGAAGAAGGTGTGGTGATGTCTTACCTGAGTGTTGATTGTTACTGATATATCACAGTTTTCAAGGGGATAAGCTTAAGCTATTAAATAATTTTAAAAAAGGATTAAATGAAAGTAATTGCCTCTCATTTATCATTATTTAAATATCACAAATCTATGCAGCAATGCTTCAGTGGCCAAAAGGATGAATAGAAGAAAGGGGGAAGACAGAATAATTTTAAAATTACACCAAACATTCCAAATTGCAGTGGTGAATAACCAAAACTCTAAGAAATCATTACTTTCTACAAATGGAATTTCTTAATGACCTCTAAAATTAAAATTAGCCATCTCTATGTGTTTTACTGTTCTAATACGTGTATGTAGAGGGAAATCAGTAATCCACCTCCTGAAGCTAAGTAATAAATCCTTGCAAGTCATAGCCCATAAATACAAAAGGTCAAACTTAAGTGTGTTCTCACTGGAGAAGCCTTTTTTCCTTTTAGATTAGATGTCTTCACAATCCCATCCAGATATTTCTCTATTTCTTCCTGCAAAATATTTTACTTTTAAATTTAAGGATTCACTACATATTAATTATCTCCATATGCACAAGGTGTTATTCACTAGTTACTTCAAGGGATGTAAACATGGGCAATGCCTCAGGAGTCTACATTCTTGCTCATGAACCATTATTCAACAAATATTGAACTACTGAGGGCCAAGCACTGTGAACAATGATGAGAATACTATAGTGAATAAGCAAAAACACTCTCTGACATTGTTATTGTTTAGTAAAAAAGTCAGACATTAAATGAGTTAGATGGATGGTTCATAGCAAGTGTTCTGAGAGAAAGGTACCACTAAAGAAACATAGAGCACTGGAGTGCCCATGAATAAGGCTGAAGATGTTTATTGTGGGCAGAAAAACCCCTAAGTCTAAAGGCCGAAAGGTGGGAGGAGCTTGGTGCTTTTGAGGAACTGAGTGTCTGGACAGACCAGAGAGACTGCGAGCAACAGGCAATGAAGGCGAGAGAAGTGTGCAGAACCCATATCATCTATTCACTTTTAGGCCATCCATATCTTCTGAAATAGACACCAGCAAAAATTAACGTGAGGAAAAATCTATTAGTCATCAATGATTCTCTACGTGAACTTTTTTTTTAATTAGCCAGATATTGTGATGTTTGCTTTAATAATCCTGATGACTAATATGAAATAATTCAGCCATGTGAAGGGTTGAAGGGATTGCTCATCCCGGAACACCCACCATCCTAACCACCCACTATCATGTAATGCAGGGGATCCGAGGGTTTCCTAATTTTACTGTTCTAATACATGTATGTAGAGGGAAATCAATAATCCACCTCCTGAAGCTAAGTAATAAATCCTTGCAAGTCATAGCCCATAAATACAAAAGGTGAAACTTCAGTGTGTTTTCACTGGAGAAGCCTTTTTTCCTTCTATATTAGATGTCTTCACAATCCCATCCAGATTGGAGCACCATAGTTCTCAACTCCCATGGAGAGCCTCTTGCAGCACCATGTATTCAGTACAACTTGATGATCCCATAGCCTTTACAGTGTTAGTATGGCTCTTGATAACCCAGTGTTTAGTTTTAAAGGTACATGTATACCTGAAAAGAAAAGACAATTTTTCCAAAATAAGTTCGTTATTAAAATCATTTCACTGCAATCCGAGCACTTCGGAAGACCGAGGCGGGTGGATCACGAGGTTATATGGAGACCAGCCTGGCCAACATGGTGAAACCCCGTCTCTACTAAAAATACAAAAATTAGCTGGGCATGGCCGTGTATGCCTGTAATCCCAGCCACTCAGGAGGCTGCGGCAGGAGAGTAGCTTGAGCCAGGGAATCGGAGGTTGCAGTGAGCTGAGATCGAGTCACTGCACTCCAGCCTGGCAACAGAGCGAGAATCTGTCTCAAAAAAAAAAAAAAAAAAAAAAAATCATTTCCAACTTTATTGGTTGAACACAGTGAGGATGAGGTGTCAGTCATTTCTTTCAAAAATGGAGCTATTTTGTCAATTGTCAGAAAAATAACATTATAAATTATAAACATGATTCAAGGTCCTGAACTTGATAAGCATCTTTGCTGTCTATTCTGAGGTGTTTTTTTTTTTTTTTCTCAAGTAGAGATTCTTGCATTTTCATCTTCTAGGGACTGACAGCATTTCTTGATTTGTCTTCATTACTTGTCTACGCAGTAACTTAGAGAAATTTTATTTTCTGTGAAAAGATTAGCCCTCTAAAGATGGCAAATAAACTTGACATCTAGAGATCAACTCTGAACTCTGAGTATAATTTTATAAAATTTTAGAACATCCATATATGAGGAAGATAATATTTCTAACATCTTTAGTTCCGTTAAAATAAATGGAAAAGGTGAAATGACCAATCTCCTGCCACTTAACACCAAACCTACAGATCTGGAAAATAATTGGTACATCTCCCATAAGTGACCATGGGTTTTAAGGGAATCGATAAGATTTAAAAAGTTTTCTTAAATTGTATTTTGTTTTTAGCAGGATAACAGAATGATACATGCAGTCCTGTTTTGTATTCAATCAAGGTTTATGTTAATGTAAAACAATTGAAAGTTACTCAAGGTTGTCAAATCACTTTGGCCTTTGATATTAAAATCAAAATCAGAATGTGGCTTTCTTAGCTGTTTCAGTCCTAGTGTTTTTCTTCATTTCGTTTTAGTTAATTAGTGGAATACAGTCCAGTATCAAGGTCAGCTGATGGAAGAGAAGGAAAGGATTTGGATGTGGGGTGGGGAGGCCTGGATGTGTGTTGTTCTGCTGCCTAAGTGACCTGTGGTGGTAGCCAATTGCCTTGGGTTTCTGTTTCCTCAATGTTAGTGATTATACGTGATTACTTCGGCATATTGTGAAGACAAAATACCCAATATCTAAGCAGAATGGTATTTTAACTACAAAACACTGTTGACCCTTATACATTAAACTACATTTTATAAAGTTATCTCACATAAATTCTGAACATTAGATCAGTCTAAATTTATTAGCAAGGCCCAGAAAATTTCATAGCAATTCTATTGGGCTGACATGTCAGATATTTCAGTTGTTATTAATACCACAAGACTAAGTATGAACCAACTAGTCCTTGAAACGCAGTTTTGGCTTCTGGCAAAATAGTCTGTAAATGCACAGTTCACACTGTCTACTGCCTTGATATTTGAAGTATGGTCCATGAATGAGCAGCACTGACAACACCTGAGAGCTTATTACAAATGCTGAAGAAAGCCCAGGCTTCCCCAGACTTACTAAATTAGAATATGATTTCTAACAAAGTCTCTAAGTGATAGGCGTGTATGTTAAAGACCCAGAAGCTCTGTGGTTTAGGTGTTAGACCCACTGCAGAAGGCTCATGGGAATTTAATGATTAACTCTATGGTTTATGCATTCAAAACTATCATATTCTACTTGTATGACCTCAGGATTGTTACTGAAATTTTGACATCTCATCTATAGTACCTACCTCATGAATGAAATGAGATTATAAAGACTAAGTGAGATAATAGTTACCAAGCACTCTGAACAATGGCAATCAGTACTTTCTAGTTATAGTAAGTATTCAGTAAATACACAAATGAGGCATAGACATATTACGTGATGTCTAGAAATTACTTGTTAGTGATGGAGCAACTATAAAAGTAAAATCTCTCAAAATAACAAAATGATTCATTAACTCTGTCCTATTTCAGCTAGTATAACTATAATCAGATACTTTACCTTTGAGCTGCAGACACCATTATGCAGCCCAGCTAAGAACCAGTTAAATCTCTAGAGCTACACTCTTTCCAAGATAATATTCTCTGTCCTTTATCACCTCTTTGCCCCTGCCCTTGCCCCAGGTCCATGATGTGTCCTTTTATGGTTGACATTAATGCTATAATGGTTG